CCCAAAAAAAAAAAAAAAAAAAAAAAACCTGTGGACTGATTTAGGCCTGGGCTAGGGCCCAGACTCTACATTTAAACACCCCATATATGACTTTTATGAATAGGTATTGAAAACTGAAAATAGAAAAGTTATGGTATTGCTATTTTTCTCCTCCAATCCCAAAGTAGCCACTCACAATTGTAACTTAAATCATTACATAATTACTAATAGATATTTAACTCAGAATATTCACTTTAGGACAGTCTCTGTACACATTTCAGTAAGCCACTCATTATACAGTATATTCACCTGTATTTGGTTAACTTTTCCTTCCCACAGCAAAATCATTCCCACTAGTGGTTCCCCATCTCAAGTGCACAGTGTGTTTGCTTTTCTGTAAACAATCCAATCTGACTGGATCCTCCATATTGCTATTTGTTTTTGTTTTTTTGCAAATGGAAGTTTTTAAAAGGAAGGGTGTAGAGGAACTTGCTGCTATGGTACCTGGTGCAGCCACCTAAAAGTTAACCTAGTGCTATGACATTTTATTTGTTCATATATACTGAATTATAGGTGTCAGTGTCTGAGGCAAAAGTCATCTCAGAGGAGTTAATATTTGTAAATTCAGTATCTCCATGTGGAAATTAGGTAGTTACCTAAACCAGAATGTCACTTTATCACTGCCAACTGAAAAAGCTATAGCTACTCAAAGGTAAGATATATGTGTTCATAGATAAAAACTAAGATGATTACTAGACAAGGATCAGTGGAAAATAAGTAGCAGTTTTGCACCAATGCAAGACAAAATATACTTTATTGTGACAGCAAATGCACATAGTGCTATAGGTAAGGCATGCTACTAGGAATCTGCATATAATCAAAGGCTGGTATGGAAATGAATGGGAATCAGTGTTGTGTCTTAATGCATGAAGACTTAGTCCATGGTGAAGGAAAGAGAAGAATTTGTGTCCACATATCTCAAATGCAATATTATACACCTACCAAATCAGAGGCCTATGCCTCTAACCAAGAGCCCAAAGGCAAATAAGAGAAACTTAATCCTAACTGTACTCAGATATCACATCTAGTATCAATAACAGAAAGATTTTGCTAATTAATTTGAGGCAAATTTCATCTCTAGACAAAGACCTAGAAATTGAGCAAACATCCATTCATTCATTTAAGTATTTAGCCAATTTTAACGCCATTTATTCCACCAGAAATACTAGAATATCTAGAAATAGTTTGGATAGAGAAACATTTACATTTTAATACTTCATAATGTTGTAAATTTTGGGCTAAAATAACCCCCTGAGTCAAATTTGATCCCTTTCTATTTGAAGGGGCCAAGTAGAATTTCAATTTCAACAGCTAAACTGCTGAGGGAAGATCTGAGAAAATAATTCTAGAAGATCTAGTCCTTTGATGTAACTATCAGGCTCCACAGACTTGTCAAAATCAATACAAAACTGAGGAGGATAGGCTGAAACACTTTGCAAAGCAGTAGTTTTAGATAGGCTGCTTCACTTCCCTCCTTTTAAAACAGATGCAGATGAAATGCTTTCTGCATAAATGCACACTGACATTCTGTTAAACTGTTTTCTAAATGCAATACTGTGGATTTAAACAGTATGCTTTAATTTAAACAAAGTAGAATCTTATACACAATTTAGCTTAAGAGATGAAAAGAAACACTACTATGAAAATTACTTATCAAATACTCTGCTCTTTTAAAAGGTGATTTTAAAAGCAACACAGGACCAAAAACATCCAACTATTACTTTATTTATATTACTATGCTTAAGTTACATGGAAAAGACAACCAAGCAGTTCTGCCCCATATCAGGAAAAGTTTCCAATCAACACCAATTATGTGGTGACAAGTAACTAGGAATGGTGACATCTTTGGGTCAAGACTGACAAGGGCTTGACAAGGGCTGACAAGACTGACAAGAATGGGCTCTGATGCTACGGTTCATCTCCAACAAGAATATGGCACAATGGCCAGCACAAGCCATACTAACACTGAACCTTTAGCGCTGGTCACAAATTCGGATCTCTTCTCTGAAGCTAGCAAATCAAGTGAAATAACTGGGTTTAAAAAAAAGTTTTAAAATGAAGCCCAAATAAATTTAAGAACCATGCTCTTGACACATTTTCCTTTCAAAATTTACATAAAACACTTTTTCACTCTAATGGCCCATACATTTTTCCTCACATAGCCCACCATGTAGCTGCAGATAGACTATTCTGCCTCAAGATGTAAACATAGGGGGAAAAAAATTAACGGTATCCGCATAATATTCTCTCTACACACTGCTGTTGGATGGAAAATAGAAAATTTAAAAAAAAAAAAAAAGAAAGAAGGAAAGAAAGGTTCCATCATAGATTCTCACAACCTCTTGTTCCACAGTTCATGAATCCGACTCTGATGCTAAGGTGACAGTGTATGTAAGTAGATTTTTGTTTTCAGTGAAGAAGACCTGGGAAAAAGATGGATTTATCTCTTTTTCTTCAAGAGTTATCAGATGGTACATGCTCCTCAAAGCCCTCACTTTCTCGAACTAGCGCACGTTCTAGGATCACACGGCCTTCCTTATAACGCTGGCTGTCTTCAGTGGCAAACTCATAGATCCATCCCAGTTTGCTATTGCAGTTTTTGCAGCTCACATCTCGAACCATGTGGCGGCCAGTGAGCATGACCCGGTCTTGAACTTCACTGTACTGCAGGTTAACTACCTAAGAAACATGTGAAAACAAAATTGCAAAGCCATGTAAGTTATCTGCCAAAAATGGTACACAATATTTTTGTTGGTGCAAGAACAGCAACTTCAGAAAAACGAATAGCAGTTGTTACTTTAGTCAAACCTGCAATACACTTCCCAAGAGCTATTTTTACAAACCGCTGGGACAGGTAAGCATCTGTACTCAACTGGACATCTAATGTAATCATGCATTATTGTATTAGTCTAAGTCACACTATTATACACGTTAGTTACACTTCTGTGTTATAGTGAAAAGTCCTTAACTTGGAGTCATAAAACGTAGGTCTGGGTCCAACTGTTATAATTCACCACTCAATGATGAGTACAACTATGGCTACCAATGCAAAAGAACCTAGTACGCAACAGGTACCCCATAAAAAGAAATTTGGCAAATTTGTTTCTGAAATTACATTTCATCTATAAAGAGACTGGGGTAGATTGCAATACACAGTTTTCAAGTGGGTTCAGAGAATCTGTGAAGAATTTTCAATGATTCTTAACACCCAATAATCTTCTACACTTTACTTTTCTGTAAAGAGCCAGATAGTAAATATTTTTGGCTTTGAGGGCTATATGGTCTTTGTTATAGCTATTTAGCTCTGCTGTTGTAGCACAAAAGCAACCATAGATAATACATAGAAGAATAAATATGGTTGTGCTTCATTAAACTTTACTTACAAAAACAGGCAGCTGGCCGGCCATGGTGTGCCAACCCCTGCTCTAAACCGAAATAAAGAGCAAGGGGTATATACGCTATCAATTCTTTGAGAGAAAAAACTTGTTTCTAAGTGGAACAGAGGAGTGTCCACTGGAGAGGTTTAAGTTGAACTTCTAAGAACAGGACCTTGGACTAGTTCTGTTCCTTAATGTAAAGTATTTGGAAATTCAAGTTTGCTGGTACACATTAGATTCCAGGAGGCAGAATCACATCAACCAGTTTCAAAGCCAGCCAGAAATTAGAGAGGAGGCAGACTATACACTAATGTGTAAGTCAGGAAGCACTCTTCCTGTTAGCAAACCTCTTAGCCAAATCATAATCAGAAGGATGACTGGTAGGCATAAATTAAAGCAAGGGAAGTTGGTTAGATGATCCTTATTCACTTGCACTGTCAAACTATGACAGCTTAATGCAGCTACCTGCCTATAAGGATAAATCCGTGATATGGGGGTGTCTTGGCCCCTTCAATAGTCTGTAAAGTAACTACCAAATTCTTACACTGAATGTCTTCTGAAGCAACGGAGACCACCCTTCTTATTATAATACAATCTTTAAACTCTCAACAATCAGTTCTATAGAGCACAGCTCTCATTCTGACTCTTCCTGGCATCTCCATGCTCTGAGGGGTATTCTGGTACTGCTATCAAATATATCCACTGAACCCACTTAGGAAATGAAACTGGTTTTCCCCACCAACCTTGTTAAAAAGAAATGCTCTGCCAGTGGCGCCTGTGAATCGAGTGGAGATGAGTTCTGAGCGGTTGGTCAGGATCGTATCGCAGTTTGCACAGGAAAACAGACGGGTACCACCAATATGATCAAGGAAAATCCTGCCCATTTTTATAGCTGAAGTTCTAAAAACCTAGGAGCAAATAGAAAAGGACAAGAAACACATTATGATTTTTTGAAAAAATTTGTTAGTACCTACTTGGTGGTGTCACAGAGAACCATTTATATACACATATGTGATCTCTTTATAGTACTTAATACGTGAAATAGCTGACTCTGAACAAAAGGATCAAAAGTTCACACACTGAGGAAACAAATAGGCATACCCAAACTAAGAACATTTTAGAAGCAGCAAGTCAAGGAATCAAACACGCTTAGGAAGGCCAAAGAATGGTATCACTTCTCTTTTGATCGGTATGAAAAAAACAGGAAGACAGTGGAATATCAAACTGAATGATGAGAAGCACAAGCAGAGAGGTGAGAAAAGAGGTTTAGCACAGGGTGAAGTATACATTCTGAGTATGTGTAATTTGAGAAAAGACTTGTGGGACAAGAGTGGGATGATCAGGTAAGAGTAGAAAAAGGGGCGATCAGAAAACAAGAAGAGGGTAGTCTGGTTCGAGAGCATGGGGGGCCTGGCTCTCTGGTCATCAGGTGCGTCAACAACCACGAAGGGGTGATGGCACTAACAGTAGTTAAGTTTGAGTCTGTGGAGCACTGTACTAGGATGCTTTACTTATTTCAAAATCATCACGACAACTCTGTGAAGTTATCGCCCCCATTTCAAAGATTACCCAAGGTTACTAACTGGTCAAAGGTTACACAGCTTTCAAGTCCAGAAAATCGTGACCGGAATACGGCTCACCCAAGTCAAAGCCAAAATTTTTCCATTACTCTAACACAAGAAGAGAACACACAAGATGGTCTAGGCTGGCATAAGGCTAGGAAAACAAAAACAGAGAAGGGAAAGATGAGCCGTTGTTACATAGCTTACTATTTTTAAGAAATCCTTCCAATTCAACAAATCACAAAAGTTCTGAAACACTGCAAAAAATCTCTGAATCCAACTTTTGAAACAAGGATAATCACACTCCAATATTTTAAAACTTAGGAGAGTTAATATATGCAACTCCTTAAATTCACTGCAATTAATCCCCTAAAACAGTATTTTTGAGATCTAGACATAGTCAAGAATACACTACAGCTTTTCATTTTAAAAAGCATTTATTCCTGCGTGTAGTGATCAGCTCCTATGTTTTAAATATTTAACATTGTATGTCTTTAAAATGGCATACAGAGCTAACACAGCTACCACTATGGAAAAGAAAAATCTAGAAGCCATGTGTAATCCACTGTCATCTTAAACTTGAGGAAATTCCATCACAAATTAAAAATTCCATTCCTTCTAACATCTGTCAACTTCCTCAGCCATTAGGCAGTTCTAATGTCATCAGAAATGTCATTATCACAAAGATAATTATGACTTCCATTACACATTATGATATGGAAGTTTAATAAAGAATGAAAAACAAATAGTGACTATAATTACAACTTATAGCTTGTAAAAGGAAAGCCAGTGCACTAACAAAAGTGTCAATGAGTAAACCCTGTGTAAAAACACAAGACTTATGAAATGACATTTAGCTTTCTGATTATATTTCTGCAAAACGACAACAGAAAGTAAGACTTGCTGCCTATTGTTTCAGTCTCTAGGAGAGCATTACTTTTCCCAGATGACTAAGAACACATTATTTGTTATGCAAAGGTCAAAGGTTGCAAATCTGAGGCCTGCTGGCTGAATTCATTTGGTGGCAGAGGGATACAGCAGTGAACAAAACATCCCTTCCCTCACAAAACATTAGTGGACATGTTTAATCTGGCCCACAGTTTTTTACTTTTAATAAAAAACCGTTGAGAATCATTTAAAATTTGAGAGATTTCACTAAGAGCCTGTATTGGACCTTTAAAAAAAACAAAAAACAATGGGGAGAGCTGGCAACACAGGGCATATATTCTCATAGGGCAACAACTGGCTAGAGCTGAGTGGTGGCTGCGACTCCCCCAGCTAGGCCATTTCATTTGCTTTGTGTCCATTCTGTGCCACAAAACTACTTCACCTGTTAAGACAGTTGAGTTTATGACTCTTGATATAAATTAAGCATTCAATGACCCTGTGAGTAGTTGATTTGGGTCATCTTTCTTAATACCGGTCATTTAGAGAAAGGAATCAACAGCAGGGTTTTATAGTCTCACCTCTGAAGACACAGTCCTCAGAATCTATATTTCTCTGAAAACTAGTATTTATGCATTAATTTAGCCTCCAGCTTGGGCTTCTGGGAACTGTTACTTTCAAGCCAATTTTCCTTCAAACTTTTAAATACAATATTTATCTTGTAAGTTACTTCAACCATAATGCAAGAATAACTAGATATTTTTGAATTGACTGTGACAGATACAATACTATTGAGGAAAATGTTCAGAACTTCAAAATGAACTCTCCCGATACCTTCTACCTACAACTCGATCTTTGGTTCAGTATTACAACATAGCTGTGGCCATCTGCTTGCTACTGGATACAGGCAAACTATTTCTAAATGGGGTAAATAGATTTAACATGCCTTCTCTTCCCTGCTTCAAATTCAGACTATTTTTAACTTTTACCCAGCTATTTTTTACTGGATTCAGTTACATGATTCATTACCAAGACTAAAAATATCTGTACAGAATCACTATTCCCAGTTGCAGTTGCCATTTGGAGAGTTCTATATATGTATATAAAACTGTAAAATGTAGTTCTAATTTGCCAAAAGAGAGAAGCCTGAATGCCATGGAATCCAGCAGAAGCAAGCAAAACACCACTTGCTGTTGAAGGTCTCTGGGACATAGAAAAACCTCCGCAGGCCATTGGGTCCCAGGTGTTAGGCTTTAGCTTCGCTGGGCTAGGAGTGCAACCTAGTGCTCACTTCCCCTGTGCACACTCAGGAGGACTGACGTCAAGCAGACTGCCACTTCATTACAGAAGGGGGAAGGTCATTAAAAAGCTAAAACATAACACCTGAATCAGGTTTCTCTGGACCTGGACAATATATTGAACTCTGCCTTAGACTTAATAATATGGGACACTGCATTTGGTACGTTACATATCACATTTAATCTTGACAATTTCTAAAGTAGATATTATCCTAATTTTGTAGAGGAAGAAATAAAGACTGTGACTTTATGAAACCACCCAAACTGGGATGTGAACTAAATTCTGCTCCAGTTCTTTTCACCCCACTTACTTTCTAGTGACCAGAAGAGACAGCCAGATTCAGCCCTCCCTCAGATTTATCATGCACCCCTCCTGTCTCCATGCTGAACCTGCTATATTCCTTAACTTTGTTGATGGCAACTCCAATCACTCTCCTAAACTAGAAACCCTGGCAACTTCTTTAAGAAACTGCAAAATTGACAATACCTCCGCAATCACTTTTCGAGGTCTTTCCTCCCCCTCCCTCATCAATGTCTTAGTTCAAATTCTCATCACTTCTAGATAAACCTCTCGTGGTCAGGGAGTGTGCATTAGTAAATGCAACATACATTCACAGGTGCCACTACATTTATGCTAAATTAGATAGTGCTACAAAAGGTACTTCAGCCTTACTTACGAAAGACATGGACTTCAGCCACCCCTTTCTAAGAGCTTATACAGACCACTCCTCTACAAACTTTGAAACTTTTTATCTGACAGGATAGAATACAGCTGATTCTTTAAAAACAATTTTCTTAAAGGAATAATTTACATAACATAAAATTTGGCCATTGTAAGTGTACAAATGAATGACTTTTAGTAAATTTACAAAGTTGTGCTACCATCACCACAAACCCTTCAGCTTTAGAATATTTCCATCACCTCCCCCAAATCCCCACAAACCCTTCTTCAGTCAATCTCCAGCCACAGGCAACCAATGATCTACCTTCTGTTTTTACATCTAAATTATTTCCCACATATGCTAGTCACCTTGCTTGGATTTAGAAGAGTACCAAATATCTTCAGTCACATATCTCTAAAATATCTTAAGAATGAATTGCTTTCACAGATGACTAATGTTCTCTGTATTGATTCTGGGGGCACTTACTGTGTCCCTAAGTAATAAAATGTGTGTTATGGTATCAGTGTTGAAGTTCAAGTTTATAACCAAAATTAGCACCAAACTCACCATTAATTAAAGCTTTAAGATGCTCTCTTCCTTTTTAGCATTTCAAGCAAAAAAGAATCTAATAATCTTAATTTTTATAAGTGCCATTCCCCAAATAATTTAATAAATAAGGTCTCTTGGGGACTAGATTTTCTTTGCTCTAGGTTATTAAAACCCTTAAAAGGTGGAAGAAAATTATCAAATTTGAGTGTTTAACTGGAAGCCTAACATCAGTTCATTTGAAATTACGGGAAACAGTGAGGTGTCAGGTTGAAAATATAAGTGAAATTCACACATGATATGCTGATATTTTAGTAATTGACTTCAATTTCCTCCCTCTTCAATAAATAGCATTTAGCTACCTAGAAATTTCAATTTCTATTTTAATAGGAGACTCCAGTGAAGCAATACATTAAGACCTTTACCTTTTTACAGTTTTTTTAATTTATAGGATTTATAGAATCTAAGAGAAAAAATGGTTTTTCTCTTTCAGAAATCCATGAAAGACAGTCTCCAGGAATGTATTATTTTAAAAATTAAGACATTATGGACTATATAATTTCCAGGTCAATAAAACAATTTTCTAAAAAAAGATTTTTTTGAGATTTAGTTTTTTAGAGCAGTTTTAGGTCCACAGCAGCAAAATAAGGCAGAGATTTTCCACATGCTCCCTGCCCCAACAAATGCATACCCTCCCTCATTATCAACACCCTTCACCAGAGTGGTACATTTGTGACAACTAATGAACCTATAATGACACATCATAACCACCCAAAGTCCATAGTTTTTTAGGGATCACTCTCAGTGTTGTACATCTTATGGGTTTAAACAAATGTATAATGACATGTATCTGTCATTACGTTATCACTGCTTTAAAATTTCTCTGGGCTCTATTTATCCCTCCCTCTACCACCAACCCCTGATCTTCTTACTCTCTCCATAGTTCTTCCTTTTC